ATTTTGATTGAGATGGCTCTTGTCTGTTTTGGATCTTTCAAATTAACTTCATTCTGTCAGGGTTTTAAAAAAAAATCCCCTTGGAGTTTTGATTTGGATTTTATTAATCCCATAATTTAGTTTGTGGTATATTGAATTCTCTCTTTTTTAAAATTATTTCATGACTGTGAATACTGATTTCCCCTCCAGAGCACCTACACCTCTTGTCCAAGCTCTCTTGTCACATAACGCTTTCGTTTTCTGCATAATTTTTATGGCAGCCGGTGGCCAAATAGTACTTAACCCATGTTTCTTGAGTAGACCTCGTAAACTCTTACAAAACGGTCTCATCAAATTCTTTCTCAAATACTCTGAGGTTGATGTTTCTTGGATGTTGCCTTCTCACTCATTTATTTCTCTGAACATGTTCTAATTCACTTAGGAAAGCCCTGGCAGAGTGTCGTCTGACATGAGCATTGATACACACCATGCATTGTTACATCTATTAAGTATTTAGACATCTTCCTTTTCCCTAATGTCCTTTCAGTCCAGCAAAGGCAACTAATACCAAACCAACCATCTAAAATGTTGTCTCTTTAGTTCTAGAACTTTCCAGCTACAGGAGGGATCATTCAACTGAGAAACCACCGTGAGGTCGATATATCCTTATGCAGATCAGAGTAGAGCTGGGGTTTAATGCATAAATAGAAGTTCTCCAGGTAACAGAGACAGGAGTTGGCAGGGGTGGTCAGGGTGGTGAGTTTGGGAACATTCTGGGTCCAAATAGGAAAAAAATGACATGAAAGCAGGGACATTTCACCCATGTCTGAGAGAGCATGAGTGATTCAGCAAGGATGAAGCATAAGAGAATCGAATGAGAGAGAGGTGAAACTGGACATGTAGACTATGGATGACTTTTCAACGCCTGCATTATCATACTTTGTTCTCTAAGATGGTTAATGATAAGACTGTGCCATGATCAGATTTGAACTTGAAAAATATGATTTCATGCAACTACCTGAATATGCCCCCAAACTCATTTTGAGAGCTGCTTGCCATTGTAATGTCAGCATTGAGAGCTGGGACTTTTAAGAGGCAGTTGGTTCCGAGGGCACTGCCCTCATGCCTGGATTTTGGGGAGTATGTTCCTGATAAAAGTGAGTCCAGCCTTCTGGTCTCCTGCAGGCTCACTTGCCCTCTGCCAAGTAGACTTAGGACGGAGGCCCTTGACAGTCATGGGTGCCCTTGGACTTCCTAGCCTCCAAAATTGAGAACCGAATAAACTGCAATTGTTTGTAAGTTACACAGTCCGTGGTATTCTGTTATCACAGCAGAAGATGGACCAAGATCCTTGCAGTATGGCGGGGGGTGAGCGGTACTGCAATGCGCAGAGGCAGCGAGGAAATTGCAAATAGTTGGGGTAGAGATAATAAGAGTTTGGACAAAGAACATGGGAAATGGGGATGGGAACTGAAAGTTATTCCGGTGGAGAAATCAGTGCGACTTGGTGATGGAGTGGGCACGCGGGGGTCAGGAGAGGGCATCCTGGATGTCTGGGTGCAGGTTATGGGATGTCACGACGCTGAGCTCCAAATTGCTCACTCTGTGTCCTCGGGTTAAATAGAGCAGCTCTTCTGAAAGCCTGCCTGGCTGCGGCTTTGATTGGCAGCTGTGTGAAAAGGCTCTGGAACACGCCACTTTATTCTTTCCCTCAGAATAACCACATTTGTGCCGTGCGATTTCATTTTACAGGATTTGTAGGCTCTTTTGTTCCCTCTCCATCTGTATATTTACTGCTGCTCTCCTGGGAAGAGAGAAGACAGGTTATTTCAGAAATAACAAACCCGGACCCAAAACATTCCCTCCAAGCTGCTGCTCTGAAATTAGATCAGTTTGTCAGATTAGATTGGAAAGGAATCTTAAATCATTTAGCACAAACTGCTCATTTTGTAGATGAGGACGCCAAATCCAAGGGAGGAAACCTTATTTGTTAGCCAGTTAGTGGAATTGCAAACTCTATCTGGAAAGAGTGAGAAATAGTAGATGAACAGGATTTGAAGTTAGGCCCCCGACAGATCTGGGCTCTGCCGCTTACCAGGTGCGTGATCTGAGGGGTGTGTTTAGTTTTTTCTGAGCACCATTTTTTTTTTTTTAATTTGCTATGAAATGGAATTGTGAGAATTAAATGAGAAAACCGCACAAGTCCAGTGATGGCACATCTCAAGCTCTGTGCATATCAGTGGTGAAGTTGAAGGCGCTGTTGAGAGTGGTGGTGGAGAACATGGGGATGCAATTGAAGGAGCAACTGGTTTTTTGTTTGTTTGTTTGTTTGTTTGACCAGGTGCCCTGGCCCACCTGTGATCTCAGCAACCTGGGATGCTAAGGCAGGAGGATTGCCAGTTTGAAGCCAGCCTGGGTAATTAGCAAAACCCCGCCTCAAAATAAAATAATAATAATGATAATAGGAGCTGGGGCTTAGCCCAGTAGTAGAGCACCCCTGGCAAACTATGGAGACAATAAAACGATCAGTGGTGGCCAGGAATTAGGGCAGAGCACAGAGGACTTTGAGGGCAATAAAACCACTCTGTAGAGACTACAATGCCTTTTTCAGAATGGCCTGCAGTTGGAACCATGCCGTCTGAATGCTTTTTCACAAATTCAGATGAACTTCTTTCACTTATTATTGATGTATCTCTAACTCCCCATCCAATCTTTCCATGATCTGCCAGTTCATTTCTTTTTAAGGCTGACTAATATGCTCTTTGTCAGGGGGTTCTTCAGCTCACCTGCCTGTTGAGGGACCTCTCAGTTGCTGCCAGGTTTTTGTTTATTCTGAATAAAGTTTCTATGAACATCTTTGTGCAGGTTTTTGGATGGACATAAGTTTTTCGACTCCTTTGTATAAATCCCAAAGAGCACAGCTTTTCTGGGTTGTATGGAGAGAATGTTTTAAATTTTGTTAAGAAAACCCTCAAACTACCTACCAAAGTGGTGGTGCCATTTTGTACCCCCACCAGGAGTGGACGAGAGCTCCTGTTGTTCTGCCTCCTCGCCAGCATTTGGTGTGGGCAGTGTTCTGGATTTTGGCCATCCCAATAAATGTATAAGTGTATCTCATTGTTATTTTAATTTGCCTTTCCCTGATGGTATTTTCATATGCTTAATTGACATCCATACGTCTTTGGTGAAGTTTCTGTTGTTAAGGTCATCGACCCATTTTAAAATTGGATTGATTTCTTTCTGTTGATTTTATTTATTTATTTTTTTCTTTCATGGTGTATTTTGAACAATAGTTTCTTATCATATTTTTCTTTTGCAAATGATTTCTCTCTGTGGCTTATTTTTTATTCTCTTGACGATGTCTTTCGCAGAGCCACAGAGCAGGTATTTTTAATTTTAACGAAGTCCAACTTATTGATTCTCTCTAGTCCCTGATTGTGTTTTTGAGGTTGTATCTAAAAAGTCATCACCAAAACCCAGGGTCATCTAGATCTCCTCCTGTGTTATCTTCTCAGAGTTGTATAGTTTGGTTTGACACTTAGGTCTGTGATTCATTCTGAGTGAATTTTTCGAAAGGGTTTAAGGTTTATGTCTAGATTCATTTTTCTTGCATATGGATGCCCAGTTGTTCCGGGACCATTTGTTGAAAAGACTATATTTTCTCCACTGTCTTGCTTTTTTACTCCACTCTCAAAGCTCAGTTGCCTGGATTTACGTGCATCTATTTCTGGGAACTCCTTTCTAAATTCTGCTGATCTTTCTGTCTGTTCCTTTCTCTAATCCCACACTGCGTTCATTACTGCGACTTCATACAAGTCTTACAGGTGAACAGTGTCAGCCTCTAATTTAATTCTCTTTCAATATTGTATGACCTTATTTTTTATTTTAATTCTAGTCCGTAATCCATTAGGTTGAAACATACATTGTCACCCTTGGTCTTGGAATCCCTCTGCTTCTCAGTGTCACATGAGTTCATTCTCTACAGTATGTCTCTCTCCCATAGCTTATGTATTGATGACCCCAGATAGTGCCACCCTACTCAAAGCATCCTGGGTATTAACGAACTTCAGGACGAGGACGCTTACTCTGGGAAATCCTCATCCCACCAGAGTGTGAGGCAGTATGAGATTTCCTACTCTCTATCCAGACATTCATCTTTGGATATAATAACAATTTTAGTGTTAGGAGACTTTTGGCAATTTCCTTGCTTTAGCAATTAAAATACGATTTTACCTTTTTGATTGCTTTTAGGTGGGCTTCCCAGAATGAGAGTAGAACAAAAATATCTGAACCCTTTCTACTAAGCCAGGTTTGTTCCTTCAAGTACTGGGGCGGGGGGGGGGGGGGGGGGGGGGGGGGTGCTAAATAGCTATCTTTTCAGAGATCTTTTGTAAAAGTCGCTGTTCCCCAGGTCCAATGCAGACAGTGCAGCTGGATGGCTCACTGTGGCTGGACATGAATGAAAATCTGGTCAGGGATCGTCATATGGGGAGGACAAACAGATGGGTACCCAGTAATAAGAACATCCCCATTGGTTGCCATAAAGGTGCATCCCAGAACTGGCAGCCACCAGCCTGGGGTGGGGGGGGTGTCCATCTTTTCTGGAACTGCAACATCCCATCTGTCTGTTTTTATGCCTTAATGTCCCCAGTCACTCCCTCCAAATGCTACAGAACACATATTTATTGTTTTAATTAAAGGGAATAGGTTTGAGGATTTCAAAAGAGAAATTTTTGAATCTATCCAAGGGGGTTCCAAAATCAGAGACAGGAAAGCTTACGCTAGAAAGTATCAGAATGACATGGTTCATTCCAGGTCCCCTCATTTATCCAGAAACGAGCACTTGAGGTAGTAGGGTTGTCGGGGTTGAGGGGGGTGGAAATGGGTCAGAAGAAGCACAAACTTGCCAGTGTATTTTTGTCTTATGGGGGGAGGGAGGGAGGGAGGAAGGGAGAAAAGAAGAAAGAAAGAAGGAAAGAAGAAATACGGAAGCTCATGTCTTTATTCTTCTCCCAGATGGATTCCGCTGGACTCCATATGTCACCCCGAGTGTGCCTGGATACAGCTGCAGATTTAGATAACCTCTCCTCCCCTCCTGACCTTTATTATGACTGCGAAACTTCTGCGTGGGAGAGATAAATAATTCATGCCCTCGGCCAAGAAAGGAAAGAAGACCCAAGGAAAGATTGCAGAATACAGTGAGCAGCATCTCTTTCTCTAGCATATTTTTCTTTCCGACCCACTTCCTCCCACCTCCATCCCCTACCAATCAGTACCTGACAATCTGGAAGCAGAGTGCCAGGGAGCACAGGTTTGGGGGTCCAAACTTGCATTTTAAATGCTTACAGCGGTGACATATCTGTTGTGTGTTCCTAGAGCAGTCCCTTCTCTCTCTGCCTGGGCCCTCTCTGTAGAATGGAGATCCTCATTTCAGCAAAGGCTTAACAAAAAGAATAAATGGAGATATGTGCAAGTGGACCTTTTTAACTGCACTGTGGAGATCAGACAGAAGGAAGAGAGGAGTTCTGTTGAGGTCCATCGTGGGCCTGTGACATTGTGGGACATGCTGCAAAGGGTGGGGGCCCTTCTCAGGGAGCCTTTAACTCAGGGAGGTAAGAGAGACCTTGGGATTGGATCCTTGGTCTTGGTGTTGGGTCCTCTTGTCTGGCTTCCTTAATAGCAAAGTGAACAAAAGCCCACCCTCACCTGTGGAGTGGGGGGCTTGGGCTTCTCACCATGCTGAGGACAGAACCCTCTGCTTCTTCCAGTTCTAACCGACACAGGCAAAGGGGAGACACCCAACTCCAAGCTCAGTGCTCACATTAAATTCAAAGTTGAATCACACCCGGGCATTGCATGTACATCTGTGATGTGTGTTGTTCTTATCCATGTCTGTGTTAGCTGAAGGAGAGGGTGCAATGACCGCTTTCCAGTTGCTGGCTTGTATAAGGCCCCAAGTGCTTGACCCTTGAATGTTCAAATGAGAAAATGAAGTGGGAAAAGAAAAGTCTGTAGAACAACAACGACCAAAGAATCCAATTTGCTGACTTCATATCTGCGGGAGGCCGTTGGAAGCAGTCACCGAAATGAAGTTTGGGGACTTTTGCTCATTTAAACTTCGTCTTGGAATCCCCAATTACACACCTAATTAAGAGTCAGACAGTTGGGCAAAGAGTTGAAAGGGATGATAAGGGAGTGTGGGATTAACAGGAAGAGGCACCTCCCGGCTTTGGCAAATCCTGGGGAGGAGTGTCCTTTCGCCTGCCTTTCAGAGTCCAAATCCCTGCTTCTCTGACACCTTCTGGACACTTCTTTAGCAACTTGTGTCTTGTCACCCTGTCCTTAAAAACACTGAATGTCGGAGATGGAAGAGATCTCCACGGAGCCAAGAACCAAGTCCCAAGTACACTCCATGTGTACACCCTAGAGAGACACCTTTCTTATTCTTGTTCCAGTTTCAGCTGGTGTTTTGGAATTACTATCTAACAAAAAAGAATTGAGCTGAGAGAGGAGAACTGACAAGCTCCAGAGAGAGGATCTGGGGCTGCGCTGGGTGAACGGGAGCATTTTGCTTACCTGGCTGAGGATATTGGAAGGCTCGGGGCTATTCCTGTGACCAGAGAACTCTTTGACTCTGGATGCAAAGGGTAATTAGAGAACTTGCTCAGGAGTTGCCTGGGGAAGCTACAGAATCCGTTTCTTCCATTCTTACTTCCTGTTTGATGTAGCCTTGCCCATTTCCATGGCAACCAGGAAGCTTCTCAAGTTTCACTGAACCATGGCTTGGGGAGATTCAGGAGGAACCAGATGGGGTGGGTGGGAGCCGAGGCTGAGATGTATGTGTCTTCCCATTTTATCCTTACCTCTGGTTTTGACAGGGCTGTCCCCAAAAGCAGATGCAGAAATGCGAGGATCATGATTCTTTTTGTGACCTCAAGGCCCCAGATGCCAATCCTGAGTCATGAAGATGCCTGGCGTGACTCTGCGTCTATTCTGGAAGAATCCTGTGTCTCAGATTCCTCCTGTAGCCTTGTCTACCCTTAAGACCCTGCTCCCTCCTTTTCTCCCTTTAATTTCTACCCCAAGTCACTAGCAAAGGACAGACTTAGTGCAGGGTCACAAAAAATTTTATTTTTTTTTTTTTTTTTTTTTTTTTTTTTTTTGCTGGGGACCGGGTGATTTGGAAGGAATGAGAACCCTGGTATACAAATTAAGAGCAATGTTGTTTTTCTTGATCTGTGATTTTGACCTTCAATTTCTTCATCAGTAAAGTGTAGAGGTTGACAGACCCTCCTTCATAAGGTGGCCATGAGGATTAAATGGGTGGATATGTGTGTTACCCTTGGAACAATGACAGTCATGCAGAAGGTCCTAGATACACACTAGGGTGGCCTTAAATACAGATGTGCCTCAGGAAGTTTCATTTTATGATTGCTTACAGTGCCCCCTTTCCATTAAAAAATATTATATATATATATATATATATATATATATATTTTTTTTTTTT